GGACCAGATCCTGTGCCAGTAGGTAGTGCTCTTTGTTCTTTAGGGAACGGATGTTTAGATGAGCAATCTTAATGTTACCTTGGTTTGAGGAGATTTTAACCGTGTTCGTATTATTGGTTGAACGGTAATTTATATTATCAGACTGAGCAGGACCAGTGTTAGACTCTACATCCATATAGACAGTAAGGTCAATATCTTTGTGAAAATCAGGGGGCGATAAATAGATTTGTCCGCGTTTAGACCAGCAGACTTGGGAAGAAGCCTTCAGTCTTTGGCGTTTCGTTTTTAACACGCGACGTAATAGAAAAGAGTATAAAATTTCAATCGTGTTCGTTTGTGTATTCGTAACACTCGTGACAACGTTGTCCAAATTGATGAACTCAAAATTCGTAACGACTTTCGATCCTGCATAAAAAGCGACCGTTTTGGTTTCCCCAGAAATTTGGTTACTTCGTAAAATCATCCACAGGAAGAAAATAGTGCAGCTATATTTAGGTGAAAACATGTTGAATTCTCAATAACTATGAGAAGTAAAGATATTGGTCGGAAGTTCGAAACATCGTTCCTTCCACCACCTTTAGGAATAGGTATTATGTTGGAAAACTTCTATTCTACTGGGATTTTGCACGAACTCAAACTTTTGTTGAAAAGATCACTAAGCGATGAAGATATATAGGGAGCACAACATTTGATCAATGTAGCTGGAAATCTGTCTGGACCTGTAGCTTTGTTGTCATCAAGAGGAAGAAGAATAGTCTAACGTCATCAGGTGAAATCACTTAATGGATTGTAGGATGTGGTGTTCGGAACTGGATGAGCATCGTAATCTTCTTTGGAAAGAAGTTGATTAAACATAGAATAATAGTTTAATAGATTTGCAGTTTCTTCCTGATTTGTTGCTGTAACAGCCCCATCATCGCGCTTCCAGGTAATATTTAATTTGCTGAGAACACTTGAGAAACCGATTTTTATCTGAACTGTAATCTACTCTATTGGAGTGGAAAGTAGCACGAGTAACTCCAATTTTTAAAAAAGGCCAACAGACTACGTTAGACAACTAATAGACCAATCTCAATTTTACCTGTGGTCAGTAAACTGATGGAAAGGATTCTCTGTACGACCAAATGTATGATTTTTTAAAGAAACAGAATATTCTTCCAGAACATCAGTTTGGTTTTAGACAATTTCATTCCACACTTTTAGATTGTATTAATGAATGGTATATTAACATGGACCGTGGCCTATACAACATAGTTGTTCCTCTCGATTTAAAGAAAGCGTTCGATACTGTCAATCATGAAATTCTTTTACGTAAGTTCGAACGGTATGGCTTTGGTAATAAGCCCTAGATTTACTAAGTAATTACTTAACAAATCGAACACAGAGATGTCAGCTAAATGGAATGCTTTCAGATTAGAGAGGAATAATTTGCGGCATCCCTAAGGGAAGTATACTTGGCCCTCTTCTGTTTATTATCTATATAAATGATTTGCCAAATTGTCTCAAACATACAATACCAAGGATGTTTGCAGATGATACCAGCCTTACAGCTGTGGGCAAAACATTAAATGAAGCAGAAGAATTAGCGAATAAGGACTTGAAAAATGTTAAAGTGTGGTTGTCTTCACACAAACTTAGCTTAAATATTGCGAAAACGGAATATATTTTGATTGGATCACGCCCTAAGATTAATAGCATGGATGTCCAACCCATAGTTAAGATCGACCCATGTCCAATCAAAAGAGTAAAATGCGCAAATGTGCTAGGAGTTGAAATCGGTGAGAACTTAAACTGGGAAAAACATATTGAATATATCGCTAGTAAATTATCTTCGGGAATTAGTGCGTTAAAGAAACTTCAATTTGTCTTCCGAGATACATTAGTGCTGGTGTACAATGCATTGATCCAGCCGCATTTTGATTACTGTTGATTACTTCTTCACTGAAAAATTGCAGAATCGAGCGGCTAGATTAAAATTGAATTTTAAAAACGAGCATGGACAGTCTATCTTAGCTCGTACTGCTCTCGGTTGGACATCTCTTGAAGAACATAGAGCGTCAATGAAGGCCAAACTCATGTACAAAACAATAAATCAATTAGCTCCACAAAGACTGTGTAACATTTTCCAATTTCCAACACTGTTAATAGTTATAATCTAAGAGGTTCTTCAACTGGGATTTTTATTCCAAGGCCCACGATAGAATGTTTTTAAAAAAGTTTCATTATGGAATAGAAATTCGATATCTTACAACTCGTTTTGTAAAAACTTTTCTCCTCGGCCTCCCAATTATTAAGTTAAGTAGTTTAGTTAAGTGAATATTTAATAGCATTTCTATAATAATAGTTTGTATGTATTAGTAAATTAGTCTTAAAATTGTAATAGTTAGCCAGCACACCTCTCATGGAAATCAACATAATGTTGAATGAGATTAGCGTGCCTAAATAAAGTTGATCTATCTAACCCTTCCTTCTTAGTAAAGAAATCAAAAGGAGGGACACGTTTGGTGACAGCTTTTGGGGAAGTTGGCCAATATAGCAAGCCACAGCCTTCACTCATGCCTGATGTAGACTCCACTTTACGCCTGATAGGTTAGTGAAAGTACATCATTATCACTGATCTCACTAGTGCATTCTACCAAATTCCTCTTTCCAAAAGAATCGATGAAATACTGTGGTGTTTCTACACCATACAGAGATACTCGTGTTTACGTACGTTCAGCTATGGGCATGCCTGGGTCAGAGACATACAGCATTGGAGGAGCTAATGTGCCGTGTTATGGGTGAGCGCCTACAAGCAGGAGCAGTTACTAAGTTAGCTGATGACTTATA